AACTCCAAACAGCGTTCTCTATAACGTTCTCTCTGTCTCTTTCACGTTTCTATTGATGTTGACCTGTGGTTATTTTATATTTACTTCCTCATTTGCCATACAAATGAAAAGCTATTCATATTTTTTTCAATTAACTAGAATCTTCTTCTTTTCTTTACTTACCACCGGTATCTTCCTAAACTGTTACGTGTCCAACTTCCGAAGGAACAAAATTGTTTCATTTGTGTTAAAACTTCAAAATGTTTGTAACACCTTGAATATGTTTGAAGATATAAAAAAAATAGCATTTTCTAACTGGTGTCACGTTGTAATTTTACACGTGTATCATATTTATTGGATTTTCTATGCCTATTTATGCTACACTCCTTTGAGTACTGGTAATAATGTTACCGGTTTCTGTTGGATTGTCCTCGATATAGCCTTGTTGTATGCCATACGAATAATGAAGCTCTTGACACTGACTCTCCAGCAATGGGTGAAAAAAATAAGGATAACACGGTTTGATGAAGAAGAATCCTGGAGTAGTATGCTAAAAGTCTACAAAGAGCTTTTGGAAGCGTATAGATTATTCGAAGAGACATTTGAAACACTGGTATTGTGATTTTTATCTATTATCATAATTAAGAATGTGTAAAAATTTGAAAGGTTTGGGTGGATAGTCTGTTTTATGAGGTAAGCTGGTAAACGAGCCGACGCATCACCTGATGGTAAGCAATCGGCATCGCCCATGGTCACCTGGGACAGCAGAGGCGTTACAAGGGCATTTCCGGGCTTTTGGAGATTAGGAATTTGAGGAATATAGTTTCACGTCGATTTTCTGTAATGCCGTGGTATTACTTCGGTCGAGCCGGCCCATTCGTGCCGAATATAAGTATACCCGTGTGCATAAAAACTACTTTGATGATACATACCACAGGATATAAAGGCCATGATAATAAAATATGTGGTTATTATTATAGTTAGGACACAGACGATGGCGCTGAAGATAAAGAAGCAAACGATTCAATAGAAAAAACTGAAAACTACCTTATTTTGTTGTTTTATGATGTAACAAAATGAATCATAATAATTATTATTTGTAACCATTTATTTCAGATAGTGTTTTACGTCATACAAACGACGGCGAAAGCTTTGCTTGGGGTTGTAGTGCGCGTGGAGTTATGGAAAGCATCATATTTGAATAGAAATGCTACTGAATACGTAAGATTGTAATACGTTGATAAACATTGGCTATTCAATATTATTTCAACTGCTCGGTTAGCGTAGCGTAATTAGAGGACCTCTGATTGGTTGATTCATTGGAGCAGGCTAATCAGAGCGAACCGACCATTACCGAACACGGCAGTGATTTGGTCTCGCTTAACGTAATGTAGATTGCTTAAACAATCTCATGCTGAGTCCTCATATCACTGTAAGCTGCTCACATTTTTGGAGAAGCGATTTCGATTCACAGAGACGTGGATACTAACAGAGCGATAGGTTCACCATAGGTCGCGCAGCGAACTATGGAGAGGGCTATGCTCAGCGTCTCTATAAAGGATCGAATCCGAAACGAATTGATCTAACAGAGAACCAAATTTATCAACATATCCCAAAGGATCAGTAAGCTGAAGTGGCAGTGGATCGGTCACATTTGTCGAAGAACCGATAACCGTTGGGTTAAACGTGTTCTAAAGACCGCGTCTAGGCAAACGTAATGTAGGGCGCCCTCCAGCTAGTTGGAGTGACGACATCCGCAATGTGACTTTTAGGGGTTGGATGAGCAGAGCTGAAAACCAAGCTCAGTGGCGTGCCATTGGAGAGGCCTATGTCCAGCAGTGGACGAAAATAGGCTGATGATGATCATGATGATGATGATTTCAGTTCGTTGTGGTATTTTGGAATAGAAATGCCGTCTTTCAATTAGGTTTAGTGATAATATCCGTTGAGTTGCTGGCAGTGGTTGAATGCAATAAGTTGAACATTTAGTGAACACAGTTACTTGCTAAAGGAGAGGTTTATGTGCAGAAGTCTAAGGAAATCGTAAGCTGATGGTGATAAATTTAAAAGCCTTCTAATATTTGTAGTCAGTACAATAAAATTAAAAAAAAACCCTTCAATTTTTGAATAACCTTTCAGTCAAGTGTTGTTTTTACAATTCCAGTTTATTATTTCATTTGTATCTTTAATTTGGATTTTCAAGAACCTTACGCTTTTTATAATCTTGAGCGTTGAGTGCGAAAGATTGTACTCAGCCATGGAAGAAATACAAAGCACTTGTAAACAAATCATTAACTGGAATCTGTATTCAGGTAAGAGATATTGCAACACTGATGTTCTTTTTATCATTATGGGTTGTTTTTATATTGCATAAGTACTTGCCCGGTGGCCCGGAGGTTGAAAACGCCTGCTTCTCATGCACGAGGGTTCAGGTTCGAAACCTACCAACAGCAAGTACCAATGTGACGTTTTCCGAGTTATATGTATTTTCTAAGATTATTTAGACAACATTGACCAACGGTGAAGAAAGACATCGTGAGGAAACCTGGGCTTATAATTTCTAATTATAAGTTTGAAATCGCCAACCCGCATTGAGCAAGCGTGGTGATTAATGCTCTAACCTTTTCCATGTGAGAAGAGGCTTTGTTCAGCAGTGGGCATTTATAAGCTGTTGATGATGATGAAGTATTTGACTTGAACTCTTCTTGAACTTGTAGGCCGTACTCTACTTATAGGCCGTTGCTGTATGTGATGTGAACTCAATAAATTATTTTATCTCTTTCAGAAAATCAAAAAAGAGTCTGCAAGAACATCCAACGCCTTCATAAAACCTACTTCAAGAAGATGTGTGTGTGCGGCGTGTTCTTCATAGACGCGGCGATGTCTATCCAACTGAGTAGCCTCATAAGCACTTACATTATTGTTATACTACAGTTCGAGTTTCTGTAAACTATTTCAATGTTGTAACTGTAAAAAAGCACAATAAATGGTAAACATGGCTCTTCTTTCAGGGGCATATTAATTGACAAATTCATTCCTCTTTTTAGTTATGTCCTGCAAGGTCCCTGTTTACGATCGTTTCTCCAACTTCCGTCGTTGGCAGAAGCATCAGCTCACACCAAGTTTCTTTAAGAAGCATCAAGCATCATGACGTATATAATAAACCTATCAGGCTACTACTGGCGGTAGCCTGATTATATAGGTTTACTAGCCTAGTTGTATTTGCTCGTGACTTCGTTCGCGTAGAATATGATTCCTGTTTTATCCCATGGGAGCATTTAGTCGGGATAAAAAATATTCTATCACCTAAGTCAGCCTGTATAGCAAATTTCATCAAAATCTGTACAGTAGTTTTAACATGATTGACGGACAAACATACAAATAAAGAAACTCTCTTATAATAGGTGTAAGTAAGACAGAAATAAAAATAATTGAAGAAAGCAAATAAACATGTCATTCTTCTTATGGTATGTTATTCAAGTATCTTTACCAAACATATACGTTTTTCAGAAATGAGTCTATACGTAAAACGATCTAGTATTAAGTACAATTTAATTAATTAATGTGATCATTTTTATTTTCAATTTTATTATTTACATTTACCTAAAGTAAATTGATATTTACTTACATTTTGACCTATGCATCAGCATAGGTAGTGAACTCATCAAATTACTTGGAACAATCTTTCATAGCTGACATGTCTCGGATAGCAAAGAATAAATACTGGATAAATAACATAAATTTGGACATGGGCACTGAAGCAGAACAATCAGTACATGATAACATTTCCATGCCCGATAATAAATTAGAGAAGGAACTAGAAGCAGTTCTAAGACCATTAAACATAGTGGATTCTTTTTTCTTCTGTGCGAAATACAAAATTCAGAATGGGAAAATTACTTCTAATAGCATTATCTATAAAATGCTTTCTGTGTCTTTCACGTTCCTATTGATGTTGGCCTGTGGTTATTACATGATCACTTCCCCATACCCCATACACATAGAACGCTATCAGTATTTCCTTCAATGGTGCAGCGTCTTAATCTATTTCCTCCTCTTCACGAGTACCTTCCTAAACTGCCTCATCAATATCTTTCGTAGTAACCGAATCGTCTTATTTATCTTGAAAATACAAAATGTTTATAAAATCCTCAAAATGACTGAAGACATAAAGACTTTGGTATTTTCTAATTGGTGCTATGTTGTCATCTTGCACGTTTATCATATTTTCTGGGTTTTTTATGCGTATTTTTTCTTTTCTGCCATGGGTGTTGGTAGTAATTTCACAGCGTATTGTTGGGCTGCTGTGGATACAAATTTGTTGTATGCCATACGAACAATGAAGCTTTTGATATTACCTCTTCAGAATTGGGTAAGAAAAATTAAAATGACACGATTTGATGAAGAATCCTGGCCAAGTATGCTGATAGTATACAAATACACTTTGGAGGCGTATGGAATATTTGAAGAGACTTTTCAGTTCTCGGTATTGTAATACTTATTTGTATAATAAATTCAAATTGAAATAAGAAGTTAATGTATTCGAAATCGTTAGCTAAATGCAGTAGACAATATTGTGAGTCACAATAGCCCGCAGTCATATGCTGACTTGACTTGACTTGACTGCACGGTTGGCGCGGTGGCTGGGCAACCGGCTGCTGCGCCATTCTCTGTGTGATCCACAGATTGTTGTTTCGGGTCTGGGTGTCATGTGTATGTGAACTTGTATGTTTGTAAACGCACCCACGACACAGGAGAAAATCCTAGTGTGGGGCAACATTTAAAAAAAAAAAAACCAATAGCTGTTAACTCCAAAAACCCTAATGTTTACTCTATTTTTTTGGTTATAAAGTCAAAATTAATGAAATAGGTTGCATTTGAAGAAAAGTCAGATTGACCGGCATTGTCAGTCGGGACACGCCGTTAGAATACTTATAATTATTCTCTTCTATCCTTAATTGTTCTTACTTATTTATTTTATTGTAATATGAAAAAATGAAAAACATTTCATTTTTCAGATTATGTTTTACGCCATACTAACAACATGCAGATATGTGATCGCACTTGTAATACGCATTGAGCTATGGAAAATTTCATTTGAAAACAGAACTACGACGGAATACGTAAGATTGGGTATAATTTTAGAAATACGTTCGTAACATAACATTGCATCACGCCTTTTATCCACGAAATGGTAGGCAGAGGTGCAGACAGACTATTTATGTTAGGAGTCCCATGTAATACATTCGTAGTTTAAGCATTTGCGATTAACTAAAGGAGTGCCGGGTATAGCCTCTAACTAATTTCACTCGCCATAAATACACGTTATAATGATTATATTATTGTTATAAAAAAGCGAGTTGGAGTTTCTTCGTCCGTTTCCATCGGAATTAACACTTTGAAACGAGCAAATACCTTCACTGGAGGACTGACCGACACTTTTAATTTTGTTTGACGATCAAAAGTGCAATAAATGATTTGTCTAATAATATGTCTGTAATTGTAATAAATGATTTTGACTTTGACTTTTGATAAAATGGGGTTAAGATCCCTCTTCTGGCTTATATTGAAGTAATAGGTCACGGATCACATTAGATGCACTCTTATTCCTAATATCATGGCTAAGAGTAACTTAATTAATGGTATGATGAGAAATATATCATCAAGGGTTGTCCTAAAAACACAATTTTTGTTTCTAAATATTACGTTTGTTGCGACGTATTTCTAAAGTCGACCCTAAGACAAAAAATTATAAAAATACTAAAATTATTTATGAGGAACTGACAGCTAATTTTTTATATAATTTCAGTTTATTTTTTCATTCATATCTTTAACCTGGATTTTTAAGAATCTAACGCTATTCATACTTTTGAGCGTGGAGTGTGAAAAATTCTACTCAACGATGGAAGAAATACAGAGCACTTGTAAACAATTTATTAATTGGAATCAGCACTCAGGTGAGTGAAACTATAATAATATGCATAACATTAAACTGCGCTAATCACTTATCGCCAGAGGGCTTAGAACAAGTTCGTTTTATATTCAACGAGATCGAAATGTAAGTGTTCTGATTTTGTGGTTCATTGGACCAGGCCAATCAGAACGCCAAACGCGGTAACGTTTCGATCTTTTGAAACGTACAATAAACTCTTACTAAGCCCTCAGGTGACCTATTTATGTCCACCGATGATGGCATAATAAAGAACATTTTATCATAAAACATACATTGCCGTAATTTTAAGTGTGCAAGAGCCGTACATCGACATGAACGGGTCGGCTCGACTGGAGTGATACCAGCCTCACAGAAAACCGACATGAAACAACGCTTGCGTTGTATTTCGTCCTGTGAGTGAGGTTACCGGAGGCCCGATTACGCCCCTCCCCAGTCTCCCGAATCCTCCACAATCCTCAATTTCTAAAAGGCCGGTAACGCTCTTGTAACGCCTCTGGTGTTCCAAGTTTCCATAGGCGGTGCCGATTGCTTACCATTAGATGATCCGTCGGCTCGTTTACCTACTGGATTATCCAATAAAAAAACGTTTATTACTGTTATAAGTCCTATGTTAAGAGGTAGTGGCCATACACTGAATCCGTTTACGAAATCCGACATGGGAAAATCATATTATTATAAAAAAAACGAATTTATTCTGATCTGAGTATCTAGCTGGTTAATGGTCTGATCAAAATCATCTATAGCATTCGCTACTACTTGGTCAATAAGACTTTTCATGCAAGAGAAATGAACTAATTTAGTAATATAACAGCGCAACAGATATTTGTTCTATATTAATAAACCAGTTTTCATGTCTTGTAGGAAACCAGAAGAGAGTCTGCAAGAACATCCAACGTCTTCATAAGACCAACTTCAAGAAGACGTGTGTGTGCGGCGTGTTCTTCATAGATGCTGCGATGTCTATACAATTGAGCAGTATCATCAGCACCTTCACTATTGTTATACTACAATTTGAGTTTCTGTAAACTATTTATTAAAGGATGACGGGCAGAATGTATGTACCTACCAACCTAACGACCAGATGTATGTCGGTCGACAGCTCTTTTAGTCGGTGTTTGTCTTCTCTGTGTAATTATAAAATGTAAGTGTTAGTTTTTTGGAGATAAATCTCTTCTGATTCTGAGCACAGTGTGTATCATTTATAAATTGTGCAAAAACTTTCTGTTGTATGAAACTCTCTGTATTTAACTTAATAGAAACAAACTCAGAGGTCAAACTGACACCGAAACAAAGTCAGAGGTATACATTACCTCTAGTTTACACCACCAAAGGTCATTAATCACAGTGAAATAAACTCCGAAATGAAGCCAGAGGTTATAATTTTTTTTATGGCATAAGCCGGTAAACGATCAGACAGATCACCTGATGGTATGCATCGGCGTCGCTCATGGACACCTGGAACACCAGAGGCGTTACAAGTGAGTTACCGGCCTTTTGGGAATTAGGAGTTTGAGGATCGTTGGGGATTCAGGGATTCACTTAGAAATGAATATACAGATTTCTGTTTTTGTCATACTTATTTCCCTAAAGATCTAATGAAAACCTTGGTGTCGGACATATATAGTTATAGGCTCATATCGTTGGCTACGATCATAGCAAAGATATTGGATAGTGTGCTTGACAAACAGTTGAATAAATATCTTTTGCTCAATTTGACTTCAGACCTGGATTTACAACAGAGCATCCTTTCCTTATACAAAGTATTCTGTTTATTATTATACAGACAGGAAAATGCGCGTATTTGCATATTTTCTTGACTTTTCTAAAGCCTAATCTGGTGTTCTAATAGGTTTTATGGAAAAAGCGAATTTACTAACACTAGATGTTAAGATTATTATTGTGTTACTGACATTTTTATGGTAGGTGTAAGCTGGTACAATGTTGAATTTATGTGAACTGACAATAAATAATTTCTTGTTAGAAAGTCGCGAAGAGCAAATAGCCAATCAGATCAGACTGGTTAACTGTCTACATAAAAATAAGTCGGGTTTTCCTTCCTGACGCTATAACTCCAGAATGCACGGTCTGATTTCCACGGTTTTGCATTCATTGGAAAGGTCTCGGGTTTCGTGAAGTTTATAGCAAGAAAGTTCACTAATAACCAAATGAAATGTTACATAAAACGAAACCATCTGGTGGCGAAACGGAGTTCGCCGGGTTTGCTAGTTTATTATATTTTTTCCTTCAAAACAGAAAGTTTAAGTAGCCTCACGGTATATAATATATGTATTGATTCATAAAGAATGAGTCCAAAGGGAAATCTAGTATTGGGTATGATCCTTAGTCAAAAATTAATTATTTTGACTGTTCAACAAAAAAATATTAAACATAAGAAATATTAAATTTTAAGGAAGAAATAAGTAATAAATAGTATTGGAGCTGACCAGTTGATAAATACCCAATTATATACAACAGAAATGAGGTTACCATTGCTATCAAGTAAATTAAACGTGACCTCTGGATGTTCAAAGTTAAATACTATATTATCGATCATCTAAGTTTTAATGGTAAACTCATCAATCTTTAAGAACTGACATGTCTTTAATAAAACGAACAAATACCTCACATTGAAACTGTCATAGTCCATAACGTAACATTATGGCTGACAGTATATTAGAGAAAGAATTGAAGGCAATCCTAAAACCATTAAATATAATGGAAAATATTTTCTTTTGCACCAAGTACAAAATTCGAAATGATAGAATTACTCCAAACAGCACATGCTATAAGGTCTCTGCTAGCCTTCTCACATTCTTGATGATGGTGGTCGTTGGTTGCTACATATTCGACTTTTCATTCACCCTTAATGTAAACGGATATGAACTGTTTAGGCAATGGTTTAAAATTGTGTTCGATTTTCTACTCTTCGTTGGCACCATCTTGAATTGCTACATCAACATCTTCCGCAGCGACCTAAACGTTTCATTTATCTTGAAAGTTCAAAATGTGTGTAATATTCTCGAAATGACTAAAGATGTAAAAGGAATGAGACTTTTTAACTGGTCTTACATTGTAGCTTTGCATACTAGTCATGTTTCTTGGATGCTTTACTCTTATTTCTTCTTTTCTTCGATGGGTGCTGGTTATAATATTACTTCATATATGTGGGCTGCTCTAGATACTAATATGCTGTACGCCGTACGAACAATTAAGCTTCTGACACTGCCCCTCCAGAATTGGGTGAAAAAAATAAAATTGATGCGATTTGATGAAGAAGAATCCTGGACTAAAATGCTAAAAGTATACAAAGATATTTTGGAAGCTTATGGAATATTTGAAGAGACATTTCAACACATGGTATTTTGTTTTGTAAATATGTATTCTTAGAATGGCATGTGAAATATCAATTACTAAAATCAATGAAAATTATTGCCGGAATCAATAGACATACTTCCCAATATGAGACCTTTTTTTTAAGGGGGGAAAATCATCGAATGACTGCTCCCGCCTGGGTGAGGCGGAAGGGAGTGTCAGACTCTTACTGACTAAAAACCACCCCGTTCCTTCTCCTGCACGTCGAGCCGGAGCCCCGGTTACCCGTTAGGTTCTCCGCGACTCCGAATCGGCATCGGCCCAAATATGAGCATCTATCGATGCCATGGTGTATTAATAGATCCCAAAATATATAAGAACACCATATTTTTTGCATTAAAAGCCGTGACACTTAACTGTTCGACGAGGAACTCGATTAGTTTCAAGTCATGGTAGAGGCTCATATTTATGAGCAGCATTCCGCGAGATTCATGCGTCATGTGTCGCGGAATTAAATAATAATGAAATAAAATGATTTCTTGCTTGATAATACACTACTTTCAGATGATGTTGGGTAGAATAGAATAAAAGATGTTAAATGTACCTAAACTACTGTATTGTTCCAAAATTAAAGGTGAATGAGGTAATGAACTGATAACTGTGAACTGACTTGAGTGAGACGTGGCGTAATGAGAACGCCCGACTTGATGGCTCGACACGAACTAACTATTATTATAAAATGAAATGAATGTGAGGCGTAAATGCTGACGATATTATATGATATGCGGTTGCATCGTACATGCAGAATAAAAACTGCGTATTCCAACTAAGGTCAAAAGTCAGTGGTTTCGGAGTAATAGCCTATACCTCTATAAAAATATGATGTTTTTTTTTTTTAATAATTTTTATCTTCTTTTTATTTAACCATTGACATTCTGTTTGTTTAATATTGTGCCATTAAAATTTTTGATCCTATGTGACCTAATAATTAATAATTCTAATGACATTCAGTAATATTAATCAATCCTAATCTTTGTTTCCGACTATTTTCTAATTCTGTATACTGAAAAAGTAACATAGCGTTTAAAATATTATGCAAGACCCTAATGTTACCTATGTTCACAATTAATTAAATGAATTTGAATTTGAATAATGTTTCAGTGCTCAGATTGAAGTAACTATATAGTCATGAAAAGAGCTTTCTAATAGCATACGCCTGGGCATTATTGGTCGGTAATTACATTTGCCATACACATTTGCCCATCATCCTGTAATGACTACAGGAGTTTGAGTTCTCTATGTAAATGCCAAAATTTATGTGTTTGTTTTTGGATATCAACCAGTTGGAGCAGCAGATTTAAATAATAATTCAATCAAAAATTGTTACAGTTTGTATACTACGCTATACACACGACAGTTAGAACTTTGCTTGCAGTCGCGATACGTATTGAATTATGGAAAGCCTCTAGTGGAAGAACTAGTTCGGAATATGTAAGATTTGTGTCAATTTCTCTATCTGTATGGATTGTCAATCATGTTCTTATAATAACTGTCGTGAGACATACTAAATTAACTAAAAATCGCGGGATGCTCACGTAAATACACTGAGAAAAGTTCTACTAGTTTCGAGCCACAGAGGGGTTCTTCCTTATGAGCAGTGTGCCCCTCTCCTCTCTTGTAAACAAAGTAACAACTCCCACTCCCACGTCCCACGAGAACGCGGGCGAAACCAATGGCATAAGCTAGTTGAAGATAAGGCTAATTTCAATGCTTTTGTTTTAAAAAACCAGTCAAAATATAATTACGTCATCTTAGATACCAGTATAATGATAAATACGTTTTATGATTGCAGTTACTTTTTTCAATAATATCAATAACTTGGGTTTTTAAGAATTTAACACTTTTTATACTGTTAAGTATTGAGAGTGAAAGACTATACTTTGCAATGGAAGAAGTACAGAGCACTTGTAAACAATTAATTAACGACAGTTTTCGTTCAGGTAAGTCATAAGTGAACATATTTGTTATGTGCCATTCAGTCTACAAATAAAGGGAAAATAAATACATACACATCTTTTGGTATACCCGTAGGAATTGCTATCAAATTGTATTGATGTGGGCCATATTTATAGTATAATAACTATCGTGAGGCATACTGCATTAACTAAAAATGACGACGATGTAAATATTCTGTGAAAAGCTCTACTAATGTCGAGACCTCGCTCGCTGCTCATGAGTAGGAGCGCCTTTTATGACATCATGAAATTGTGGTGTTCCAGGTGTTCATGGGTGATACCGATTGCTTACCATCAGGTGATCCGTCTGCTCGTTTACCAGCTTATCCCATAAAAAAGTAGCCTTTAAATAATTCTAAGTACGGCAGCAGGCATTTGATATTTTTTGCCCATCCTTAGATTTATAATTCTTTACAGAACATCAGAAGAGAGTCTGCAAGAACATACAACGCCTTCATAAAACCAACTTCAAGAAGATGTGTGTGTGCGGCGTGTTCTTCATAGACGCTGCGATGTCTATCCAATTGAGCAGTATCATCAGCACCTACACTATTGTCATATTACAATTTGAGTTTCTGTGAACTACGAGCTCATATTCAAAGTTTTTGTTTTTGTTATTTCTTTGGTTTTGATGTTTTAAAGTGTCCCATTATCATTTTCTGTTCTTTTTGCTATGTATTTATGATTTTTTTTTATGT